AGATGGACGGATGGATGGATAGAAGGATGGATGGATGATAGATAGATGGATGGGTGGATGGATGATAGATAGATGATGGATGGGTGGATGGATAGATGGATGGATGGATGATAGATAGATAGATAGAAGAAATGCATTTAACTAACAATAAACAATATCTGGCAAAAACACATGGAATTAAAAACTTGCGTAAAGGTAGCGGAATTATATTACAATACCTCAACAAACTTGTATTTAACAAGATTTTCATCCCACTTTATTCTACAGTGAATTACTTCCACATTGATTGGCCTCTAAATGAAAACCAGCTGCTTCTCTTTTTTTAAAAACTAAGAAAAATCCTAACTCCAACTTTGATGACCCTGGAGTCTGTTCTTCTCTGCTAATGGCTTCACTTCCTGCTCTTCAGTGGCCATTTTATGCCTAACTAATGGCTGTGGACATCTGCGGTGACATCATCAGCTATAATGGTTGGTTGGATTCGCTCGGTGTGACGGCTTTTCCCTTCCCTCGGCTCCAGCTCCGAGGCGCTGGTGCCGGCGTCGAAGCGTGTGATGTTGAGCAGAGTCAGGACCACACCTCCAACAGCCCCGGGTCATCTCTGTCACACTAAAACCTCCATTTACACCCACTGCCGGTGCCAGAGACCCAGAGACGGCTCTGGCCGACCGCAGCGCCATAGTCCCGCTTCCTCCCAGACTAAATCTGTACGCACCTATTTCATCGTTTTACACCCTCGTCACCGAGGGTAGAGGCAGCGGGAACCAGTCCAGGCCTAACTGAGACCATTAGAGATTTTTATTTCTCCAACTACATCTTCTGAGCATCCAAGAGACATTCAAAACAAAACCCCGCAGCTCCAACCGCCCAGCTTCCTGCTCCATCCTGACACAAAAAAAAAAACGGACCGGTGGTGCAGCGTTGCATTAACAGCCTCTCTTTAGGATCCTGAGGGTTTTCTGGAAGATTCCCAAGAGTTTAAAGTAGAAGTACATTTACATTTGCGGCCTTTTTTTAATCATTAAAGTTAAGGATAGTCAAAGATATGAAGTTAACTCAAACTGCCATTGTACACAGCGCAAAAAGACCTCCACGATTCAATACGTTAGTGAGTTGGAATTATTTCATATTATTTTACCTTTGACTCTAAAATCACACAAATTTCAGTGACAAATACTGAGACAGGAACATAAGCTCATTAATCAAATAATTGTGAAACTCTTTCACAATAGGATAATGAGCTTGAAAATATTAGAAGAAATATATATTATATATTAAATATATTTATATATATTGCATATATATTATATATTTTAATATGCATAAATTATATTAATATCTTGATATTTTTATAATATTATAATAATGTATATAATTTATATTAATATAATATCGGCCAACCGATATTATCGGCCCGATATTAGCATATTAGCTAATCAGCTATCTGTAAGATTCGTCACTCTTTCCTTCCGATAATGAAAACTCGATAACGCAAATGCCTGGGTTTCACCAAATGATGTGTGACCTAAAAATAGTTTTGGGGATAAACACCTGTATGTGAAAGTGAAAGTCACTAGATGGCAGCATTGCAACTACTCAGCATACTCATACAGTGGTTTGTACAGATAAATAAATAAATATTACCAGGCCTAAATCAGTATCAGTCGATATCGGAATCGGACATGAGGTGTTTGGACAATATCGACATATCGGTTATTGGCAAAACGTTAATATATTATGGACACCCGAAATAATTATTATAAATTATAATTTTGGCAAAAAAAATCGAGTTTTCAAACTGTGAACATAATTAAAATTCTTCGCCTTTACAAAGATGAGAAATAAAACCAAACGAAGCTCAACCGCTAGCCGTGCCCTACAGGTTCTGCTACCTACAGGACCTCTACAAGGTCACAATAGTAGAACAGCGACCTCTGCTGGCTTGTGAAGGAGGAGTATGGGGAGATGGTCCGTGCAGCTGCGGTGTTTTTCTCAATCATTTTAGCCATGACAGAGTAGGACCTGGAAGATTTCACACTCCCAAACATGTGGTTGTAAAAAAAAAAAGCACGATTTTGTAATTTTGTTACAAGTTTCAAGATTTAACTGGGAGTTTTGAGCGCCCTGCAACTGCATACCAAATGTAACACTTTTTTTATTTCCATCTTCTGATGGACCTGAAGAAATTCCAGTCCCTTTCTGTGAAGTTTTCCCACTAACGTCATACTTTTGGCTTTGACAATAATCTGCCCACAAACAAACAAGCAGGTCTCCCGCTCCAGTTTTCTAGTCTTTATGGCCGTCTGTTATTGCTGCTGTGTGTCACTCAGATTTAGTTCTGGTCCAACAGAGGCCGGGTGACCTCTGCATTTTCGGGGTCAACGGCGTTGCCTCCTGAGAGTTGTATTTTGGGGATTTTTGGCTCATCTGGCGGTGGGAAGCTTCAGAGCCGCGGAGCATTTCCCTCGACTGTAACGCAGAACAATCCCATGCCGTCTTCTTTTGGAGAGGAGGCCTCTGCCGTGGTCTTCAGCCAGAGGTGTGGACATGACGCATGGGGGTGGACAATGGGAGGATGCAGAGGCGGCTCTGTATGAAGACAAACTCTCCTTCTGTCACGACGCCCACGCAGTGTCTGCTGTTTTATGGCGTGTCAGTAATTTCCTGGATTTTATGATTTGACACCTACAGCCAGCTGAGGGCCTCTGAGTGTTTTTACCTCAGAACCAGGGGAAGAAATCACATTTTTGCTCTGTTGAATTATGTCTAAGGAGAGTATGGACAAGAAGAAATTTGGTCAAATGTGGTTTTCTTTTGGCTAAAACTTAGCTGCTCTTGGCCTACGGTCTATGTTTCAACTGTATTTAATATAGATTCTGGCTAAACCTGGACTTGTATTTTATTTGTCTTATTGTGTTTTTCCTCAGAATTTTGCAATAGCTTTAAACATGTTTGGCGAATATCAAGGTAATCTTTCATTAGCTTGATGTTCGCCAGTCATTTTAAGTTTTTTTTTTTTCATATTTTTCCCTTTAGTTGTCTTGTAACTTTTACTATGTGGGGCTAACTGGTAGCTAACCTATAGTTTTGTACCATTTTTATCGCTCTAGTTTACAAATATAAAAAATGACCTTATTATTAAATAGCAAAGTAAATCTTATTGTGTCTTTCATTGAATTTTTGCAATAGCTTTAAACGTTTAAATGTTTTGGCAAACGGCGAGGTAAACTTTAGTCATTTTTAGTTTTTTTTTTATTTGTTTGTTTTTTATTTTTTTATTATTTATTTATTTTTTGTAATTTTTTCAGTTTTTTAAACTAGGTTTTTGAAAGTATTTAAGTAGTTTTTATTTTATTTTATGGGGCTAACTGGTAGCTAATCTATAGTTTTGTTACACTTCTATCTCTCTAGTTTGCAAATTGCCATTATTATTAAATAGCAAAATTTGTCATTACAATATGTGTTTATCTCTGAATTTTTGCTAAATCTTCACTGACATTTTATTTGTCCTCTTGTGTCTTTCCTGGTGATTTTACAATAGCTTTAAACATGTTTGGCAAACATCGAGGTAAACTTTAGTTATTTTTAGTTGTTTTTTTTTGTATAATTTTTTCAGTTTTTTTAAACTAGTTTTTGGTAGTATTTAAGTAGTATTTTTTTCATATTTTATGGGGCTAGCTGGTAGCTAATCTATAGATTTGTTACACTTCCATCTCTCTAGTTTGTAAATATATAGAAATGCCATCACTATAAAATAGCAAATTGTATAGCAAATACATTTTATAGCAAATAAATGATCTGTGAAATATTATCTGATGATGATCCTATCTGGAAACCATCGTCTTAAAATTTTGGGTTTTTTCCAAATTGAAGTAATTTCTGTTTGCTAATATTATACACAACATATATATTTATATATTTTTACTACTGGTATAGCACTAACATGCAAACATACATGAATAAAAGTAAAGAACGCGGCTCTGGCGATGTATAACGGCGTTCAAATCCACACAGAGTCTCAATGTAGGTAATATAAAAACAGTCGAGGGCTGAATATTTTTTAACATCTGGTTAAATCATCGACTCGCTTCTTCTCTGCGGCAGGAACCCCGTCCTGTTTGTGGTTGCCGTGGTGACGGGACGGAGGGACGAGGTTTAAGTACTGAGCCGAGCAGGGTTTGGTTCTTGAATCTCAGTGGGACTGAGGAGGAGGCGGCGTCGGTGGTGGTTTGGAATGAGATGGACCTTGTTCAGTTCCAGGGCTTTCCAGAACTTCCCAGGGGCTTCATTAAAACAAAAGGAGGAGGAAGAGGAGGAGGTGGAACTTCCTGTTGGACGGAAGCCAACCTCGCATGACCCCACAGGACTCTGGGGCTCCAAATGAGGACACAAGGCTTAAAGGGATAGTTCAGGTGTCTTTCGCAGCGAAGCGCTAACCTAAGAAACCTCATAACGGAAATGTTTTACATCACGGCACACGGCGGTTCTGTAAACATCGCCGTCTTCATTAGTGAATTCAGAAGTGTTTTTCTAGTTGATTTTACCGTTTAAAACTCCATCTCCGTGGGCCTCGGTGTAGACGCCTATGCAATACCAGTACCTTCATTAGTTTTGTTAGTTAGTTCTGGAATTAAATATGAAGAATAAAGTGGTTTAAAGTCTAACAGTGGAGATAAGCTGGTTAAATATATGTTTCTTGGTTTTTTTCCCATTAAATATGAATGTAAAACAAACCAGAAATTAAACCAAATATATTGGTATGTTACACTGGTTATTTATTATTTATTATTTATATGGGTTTTTTAAGATGGAAAAAAAAGAGAAAAATAAAACAATTTTATTAAAAGATGAAAACATGTGTGTATTGAAATTAATTGAAACTGAAAAAATATAAAATATTCCTCTAATTGCATTAAAAATATGTAGGGATCATCAGTGGTCCAATTTATTAAAACAAAACTTACAACAAAGACTAAAAATATATAAATTGAATTAATTTTTAATTAATAATAAAATGTTTAATATAAATTATGATATATTTTTGCCAACACTGTTTATTATGTAAGGTAATTATGTTTGGTTTTTTTCTAAATCTAACTGATTTTTTTTTTTTATCAACTATTAATAAAAACTGGAGAGGGTCGGGGTCATAAGGTTATCCTCAGGTTCTGAAAATGTAACTGTGATTGTACTCATTGACTACTGTGTGTATTCCAGCCACAGCCTGGTGGAGGAGCTGCTGTGTGGTCTTCTCCTACCTGGTGGTGTTCTGCTCAGTACTGGGGGGAGGAGGGGGGCGGAGTTACTGGCCATAGGTGATTTTTGGGCCTCCTCTTAGTCTTGCTCCTCTGCTTTAACCTCTCAACCATCCCTTGAACCTATAAGGAGGCAGCAGTAAAGGATAAATGAAGGAAAATAGTTTGTCTTTTAAAATGTATCTTTTCTTTTTTCAAGCCTTTTAGCCCTGATACAACTTTGTTTTTGCTCCAGTGCCTTTAAAAATTATAGAAAAAAACTAAACAAAAAGAGAGATCTTAAGTGCCAGAATGGACAAGTTACAAAATGAGTACCGTTTTATCTGGACTATAAGTGTCACTAAAATAATAAAATTAAAAAAAATTATTTCACGTTCGTTATTTTCACACTGACAGCCACTAGAGGGCACTCTAAGCTTGTGTAGCAGTATCTTCTACTCCTGTACCACTGAAAAAATGTACATGTTTGCTATTTCCACACTGCCAGCCACTAGAGGGCACTCTAGGCTCGTGTAGCAGTATCTGCTACTCCTGTAAGTCACTTCTTTTCATTTGGCTGGTACGACTAATAGTCCAGAGAGATTAGATTATCAAAATTAACGTCCATATTTCAATTTCATCACTGAATTTATGAAGTTATAGGAAAAATATACTTTTTTTTTTCAGCATCTTTCTGTCCAAAATCTTGACTTGATTAAGAATTAACATCAGCACATTCCCACCGCTTTCAAATCTAAATATCTTAACCTCCTTTAAATCAGAATTTGTTTTCCTCTAACTGTTTTTGTTTGGAAACTGCTGACTGCCAGACCTGCGTATGATTCATCTCTGCGTTGTGTGAAAACACATTTGGTCCATTTGGTCCTGTCCTCCCTCACTGGCTTTTAGACAAACCGGAGCTGCAGAGCACCGTCACTCTGACAGGACCAGAGTGAAGATATCAAAATTAACGTCCATATTTCAATTTCATCACTGAATTTATGAAGTTATAGGAAAAATATACTTTTTTTTTTCAGCATCTTTCTGTCCAAAATCTTGACTTGATTAAGAATTAACATCAGCACATTCCCACCGCTTTCAAATCTAAATATCTTAACCTCCTTTAAATCAGAATTTGTTTTCCTCTAACTGTTTTTGTTTGGAAACTGCTGACTGCCAGACCTGCGTATGATTCATCTCTGCGTTGTGTGAAAACACATTTGGTCCATTTGGTCCTGTCCTCCCTCACTGGCTTTTAGCTGCAGAGCAGCGTCACTCTGACAAGACCAGAGTGAAGAGCGCGTGCGAGGCTTTAGGTCACTGTCAGACATCGCTGAATTAATTCAACGACTCGGTTTTTTTTTTTTTTGTTTTTTTTGTAAGACTGCAAGGAAAATCTGGGATTAGAGTAACAGGAGTGGGTGTAAACCACAAAGTTCTCCGTCCACTTTCTGTCCAAACGAGGTGTTTTGTTCATCTGTGAGGCTGTTAATCTTCCGCTGGATTGGTCCTAATATTACTTTGATTACACAAAACACACACACACACACACACACACACACACACTGGACTCTTGGCGTCCAGCTCGGGCCCTTTTCATGTTTACACCCTGCCTTCACATGGTGGTTCTGGCACCAGGCGTCAAAAGTGATCAGAGAGTGTAGCGGGGAAAAACCCAGAGAGTAAATAAGTCATAAATCTCATCCACATCAGTCAAGGCTTCATTGTAAACACACACACACACACACACACACACACACACATGCACACACATACATAGACACGCAAACACAGTGTGATGTAATAAGGCTAATATTCCTGCTTTTTCTCCACAACAAAGGAAAAGAGCAGTGAGTTTTACAGGACTTTTTTTTTTTTTTTCCTCGGGTTTGAAGCATCTGGTGACTTTAATCACAACAAGACAGAATTATTTGCTGACAGAAAGAAGAAGAGGAGGAGGAGGAGGAGGAGGAAGAACCGGAGCAGGATGAGTAGGAGAACATGGTGGGGGTGAAAAAAAAAAAGCCTTGGAGCGTGATGTACCTACAGAATGTGAAAATGAGTTTTCCCTGCAGGACGTGCGGTGACGTCACCGTGAGGCTAATGAGAAAAAGCAAATGTCCTGAATCATCGTTAGCTGAGTGTTAATGGATGTGTGTGTTGATGAGAAAAACTCTCACAGTGCATAACATTTTAGTGTCTGGTTCCAATCCAATCAGGGAGGAACTGTGGTCACACGAGGCACATTGTGTAGGATTAGGTGACACCTGGTGGCCAATATGCATGTCTCAACAAGTAGGTCAGAGGTCACCGACTATGTTTGTCAGACAACTGGGGGACCGGGCAATGAAATAAAAATCAAATTTTTTTTGTCTAATTATTATTCAATGTTTATTTTGAAATCCAGTTGCAGGCCGGATCGGACGGCCAGCTGATTATATTAGCTAATTTATATTTTTTTTATTTATTCATAAAAATAGGTTTTTGTATTTTTAGTGATACAACTTGAACCGCTATTTGTTTTCATATATTTTGATTCAGCTTGAATTGTATCTTACTATTTTATTAAGTACGTAGCATATTTACATTAACATTTATTTTACGAATTTACGAACTCATTTCAACAACTTGTTTTATTCATCAACTAATTGGTTAAATTTTTTTTTTTTATGCTGCATTAGCAACTTTCTGTCTTCCGCAAAATATTTTTGCCGTATTTAGATTCAATTGACTTTAAATGAGCCCTTGCCAAATTTTAGCTGTTTTTATGCTCTTTAGCTTTTTATCTTAATTATTGGCTAAATTTCAGATACATTAGAGAACATTTTATCTCATCCTTATAATTTATTTTTGCCTAATCTAAATAAACACTAATAAATACTGACAGGACGTTTTCGCTCTGGGCAAACTAAGGCCCGGGGGCCAGATGCGGCCCGTTTAGCTTTGTAATCCGGCCCGCCAAACTTGATCAAATTATATAATTGGTTTGTATTGTGATTATACTTCTGCCTTTACCCTGCAATGCCCACATTTTTTTTTGGCACAGAGAAAGCTAAAAGCATTTTAGCTTTTTTAGCATTTATCCATGACTTTTACTTATCTCATTTATCTTAGTTCCCAAATTTTGTCCTTAAGACCTATTGCGGCCCGCGAGTCAAAACGTTTGCCCACGCCTGCTCTAAACACTTCCTGACCTGGACGCTGCTCTGAGTGGACGTCTCCAGATTCACCATCTCAGCAGCCAAGTATCACAGTCACACATGAACATAGTGATGATTTTTCTCATCGACAGCAGATCTTCTTAACATAGCCTGAAACTGATCCGGGTCCGGTCTCACACTGACATAATCACCGCAGAAAGAATGTGTGTGTGTGTGTGTGTGTGTGTCTGTGGGCAAAGTTTGTGACCCGTGGGCCACAATTGGTCCTAAAATTGAACAGTAGGGTTAGGGTCAGGAGCAGATAGATAGAGTGTTGGTGTGAACTGAAGATAAATGACATGTAAAAGTCATGCATAAAGGCTAAAATGCTAATATGCTTTTAGCCTTCTATACGCCATCTATAGGGAAATGTGGGCATTGCAGGGAAAAGGCAGAAATAGAATCACAATACAAACCAATTTTATAATTTGGAAAAATTCGGCGGGCCGGATTACAAAGCCGAATGGGCCGCATCCGGCCCCCGGGCCTTGGTTTGCTCTCGCATAACTGGAAGTTTTGAAAAATCAAATTAGTCAAAATCATGACCAAGTTTACTGGGGCTGTTCAAATTAAAATAAATTAACATCACAGATCTATGTCCCACCCCACGGAGGAAGTTCTCAACAAAGCGTCATACACCGTTAGTGCTAACAAAGATGACATCATTCGTATTCTATCCAACATATACAATAATTCACTATTTAGGGCAGGGATTCCCAACCTCTGGTCCGGGGACCAGTGACGGTCCGTAGGTCATCTGCTACCGGCCCGACACAGTTTTACTAACAGACTTCATTCCAAAAGAATCCAGTCATATCCCTTTACTGTTTTTCATTCAAAGATAATCTGACAATGTTTCAAAACAACAGGTCATTCAGACTCTGATACTGACCTGATGAATTCCACAGACCCTGAATGAGGACACGGCTCTAATTCCATCCGATCAGTTGAAATCTAACAAAGACACGTCTCAGACAGACAGCTCACCCACAGCGTTGCCTCCCCCCCACCCCCCCGCCCACACACACGCGCTGTTTAAAAACCCAATTATCAGCAGCAACAGTTCCCACCAGAGAGCCTTACCTACACTGTCGTGACGGGAGCCCCCGTGCGGCCCCGCCCCCCCCCCTCTGGAGAGCGGGACCTGTATCGTAAAAACACGCTGCAGATATAAAACAAAGAGATTAGTTTTGACATGGGAGGAGATTTGAGCTCATTTGAGGGTTTTTTTCAGACGGGGGGGAAAAATAAGACGGTTGAGAATTGATCCCCGCTCCCTTACTTTACGGCCTGTTTCCCTACGTGCGCACTGAGTCGCTGGATTTATTTTCTGCGTCTTCACAACAGGACATAAATCATCCTCCCACTATCTTTCTTCCTCTCTCTACTTCTCTCTCTCGCTCTCCGGAAGAATTAAGCCCGCAGACATTACCACATTGTATTTTGCGGTGCGTAGTTTAAAAAAAAAAAAAAATCAGGAGGGAGAAGCAGTCCACGCTCCTCAACCGTCACCCCGTCCTGAACGGGGGCCCCTCGGGGCCTCTTTCTCTATAGTCTGTAATTAGATTAGCCTGGTCCCCAATCTGGCAGCTCAGGGCTCCAATCTGGCAAATAGCGCTGCCCTTTTTTCTACTGCGGCGAAAGGCACAATATCTGTTTTTCATACGGAGGAAATGACCTCAGTGGTGGTCAGTGTGGTATCCTGTTACACCCAACAACAAAAAAAAAAGAGCGGAGTAATGAAGACGTTAGGAAGAAAAAAGAGAACGCACAGATCTATGGAAAGTGCAGGGTCCGCTGAAGGCTTGTGGTTTCGGACAGACATTTAAGGACGGAAACCAGCGGAGGACGGAGCTGGAGCGGAGGTCGGGTCAGATCCACAACGGCCAATTACATTCTCAGCAAACATAAGCACAAAAAAAATAAAAAAATTTAAAAAAAAACTATTAAATTGAACCAACAATGCTACGAACCGCAAAATTATCGAACTTTTTTTTTTGAAAAATTGACAAAATACAACCTTACAACCCTGACTTTGGACAAAGGTCAAAAACAAATAAAAGTCGAGGTAAAAGTCAGCTTCAGTATTTATACACAAATATTACTCGAAAAAAAAATTTTGAAGGCTAGTTCAGTTATGGGCAAACTAAGGCCCGGGGGCTGGACGTGGCCCGTTCGGCTTTGTAATACGGTCCGCCAAACCTTTCCAAATTTGTATAATTGGTTTGGATTGTGATTATGCTTCTGCCTTTTCCCTGCAATACCCATGTTTCCCCAATAGATGGCGTAAGGGAAAGCTAAAAGCATTTTAGCATTTTAGCGTTATGCATGACTTTTACATGTCATTTATCTTAGATCATACGAACTCTCCATCTATCTGCTCCCACATCCCGCCCCCTGTCAAATTTAATTTTAATTTAATTAGGAATACAAAATTTTAAATATTTGGCACTTCCATTTTAGCTGGTGTAGTTACCTTGTGTGATTCCATGACTATCACGGACGACAGTTTTAACACTGCAGCTAATCCTAAGCTGTTTATTCGTTCTTCTTCTTCTTCTCATCCTCTCGGCACTTTCCACAGGAAACACTTCGACGACCACATCAGAGTGTCTGAAAAACAAACCGACGACACAAAAAGACACTTGACGACTGAATTGAGTCGCGGCAGCGTCCAGACTCGAAGAATGCGCATATCTGATTTGAATTTCGTGTCAGATCCAGCTCCAAATGTGGTTTGAATCAGATTTGCTCCAATCTGGACAGAATCTGGATTTGGCAGCCCGCAGGAGGCCATCACAGCGTGTTGTAGCTTCATAAATACCACCCGAGCGTGTCACTGTTTGAAGAGGCTTTAGTCGACTTCTGATGAAAATGTAAAATAGGATGAAAAAACTGGAAAACGAAGTTTGGGCTTTTTTTTTTTTTTTTTTAAGCAACCTCCAGCGTCTGAGCAGAAAAACAGGCTATAAAACTATCACAACGGCGTCAGACGGAGGGGAGGAAGACGTCAACCCAGAGGATGACGAAGACGATGATGGCGACGATGATGATACTGAAAGATGTTGACCGGGCCGTGAGGTTTGGACCGGACTCAGAATCTGACCGACTTCATGTGAGTGTCGACGTCGAAAAACACGATGAAGAAACGGAACATGTGTGGACAAGACTTCTTCAACCCTGCGCTGAATTCCACAGGCAGAAGCGGCAGCGACGGGAATGAGAAATAAAAGTGTAGAAAAGGAGAGGGCGGCAGAGCAGGAGGAGGGGGGGCAACAATACCTTTACCTGGATAGACATCAGCAAACTGAACAAAATGTTGTTGTTTAAATCAAGGGTTCTCAACCCCCGGTTCGGGGACCAGTGGCGGTCCACAGGTCATTAGATACCGGACCGCAGTGGGACAGAGAGAAAAAAACGTACTTCAGTTTTACTAACAGACTTCAATCCAAATGAATCCAGTCATATCCCCTTACTTTTTCCAGTCAAAGATAATCTGTCAATGTTTTAAAACAACATTCAGACTCTGATACTAACAGAAGAAAATCCAAAAGGATGTTTTATGTTGAAAATTTAATGATCCTTGAAGGATGGTGCGGTATTACCGGTCCGCAGTAACGGCTGATACCGGCCGACCCGTCCTCGTTACGAAAACGTATATATGCATAGCGCCACCTACTGGTTTGTGAAGCCTATCTGTAGGGATCTTTCTTAGTAGCCTTGCCTCGTTCCCTACATTTTTAAATTTATTTTCCTTTGTCCTAACACTTCTCTGCCTACAGTATTTAGTTCCATTTCCTCTTTAACCCTCTTCAGCCCATACTTCCTAACTTCAGCGGTTTCATTTTTCCCCCCCTCTCCCTCTTTTTTTTTTTTTTCCTTTACAC